TCACATGCCACAACTTGTTCAGCCATTCCCCAATTGATGAGCATCCCTTAATTTTCCAACTCTTTGCCACCACAAAAAGAGCTGCTATAATTGTTTTTTTTTAAACATATAGGTCCCTTTTTTTCTTTTTCTTTGATCTCTTTGGGGTAAAAACCTAGCAGTGGTATTGCTGGATCAAAGGATATATACAGTTTTATATCCCTTTGGGCATATTTCCAAATTGTTCTCCAGAATGGTTGGATAAGTTCACAACCCCACCAACTTATATTCTAATGGGGAAAAGACTACACATAAAAGGGAACTGGAAAAAGGACAGACAGTTTGCTCTGTGGTGGTATGGAGATGACTGGGAAGGAAGGTGGAGGCTTGGTTCTGCCCAGGTAGGGACTCTTTTACTTTTCCTTTGCCCAAGATCTAACCCATCTTTCAATGAACAGCCAAGTACAACCCTGAGCTCTGTTCCTCCTTATTTTTGTAGATTTGATCAACAAGAAAGAAGAATTCCTAATCAGAGTTGTCTTGGACTCCTGATTGGCAGAAGGTTAACTAGGAATGTCTTGTAGGACCAATCCTGTACAGTCTTTGCACTGTTCTATTGGTGAGAGCATTCTCTTCCCAGCACCCCAGTGCACTGAAGCTGGAGGTTATGGGAAGGCATCTTAGCAGAGACAATGGTGTTTAGCCTCTACAGTTATTTCCATTGAAGTAGAAAAGGGTAGAATGTCACGCCATAGCCTGCAAGCAAGGAGTAACCATGGGGCAAGTGTTGTCTCATAGGAATCCATCTTCATCTTCATGATTAATCAAGCTTCGGGCACTCCTGACTAATTCTTAGTTAATCCTGAATGTCGGCTCCCAAACTATTTCTTGCCTTATTATTCTACTTGGTTTCTGACTACTCTATTTATCTTGTTTCAACTCATTTCTTGGCACTTATTTCTGCCTGTTGCCTCCATGTTAGCTAAGTGGATCCTTCTCCCATCGTTGGATTTTTTGGTTGCCAAGGTAACTCATAATACTAGGGCCTGCTGAGCCTGCTCTGGCTCCCTGGCTGCCATCACAAGATGGCAGAATGTGACATGGGCTTTAGGATGTGAGAGTCACAAAAAATGAAATTGTGAGCATACAGTCACAAATGACACTAATTAGGAATAAAGGGCGACCCTCCTTCCCTCTGCCTCTTAGCTTCCCTAACTTTCTTCCTCACTCAGCTCAAATCTCACTCTCCACAAGAGGCCTTTCCCAATCTCCCTTCCTAGTGCAGCTTAGAACTCCTGAACTCAATGTTATTGTCTTTTGTTTTTGAAGAGGACCAAAGACTTGCTTGTGTATTAGATTTAAGTGATGCAGACTTGCACAAAATTATCAGCTTCACTCTCGCTTCCAGAGTCATTGAAGTCCAACAGCAGGACCAAGGTTAAGACAAGGTGATGGCTGGTGTTGCAGTAGAAGACCTTGGCATCTTCCATTCCTGACCCAACTCTAAGCACTTGCTTCATAGCATGTATCCTGAACTCAAGAGATCCACCAGCTGTAGCCTTCCTAACATCAGGGATTCCAGGAACGCGCTACCTCACGCCCTTCAGCCTTGACATTTAAGTCCTACTTCTGACTGCGTGACCCTGAGCTACTCTCCGAGGCTCTAAATCACAGGAGAGTTGCTGGTTTGCATTATAGAGGGAGTTTCCTCACTAAGAATTCCTTATAACAATAAAATCACAAGTTTTCCCCTCCCCCAAAAAATAATGAGGGAGAGGAGCAACACTGATAGCTGATAAGAGGGAAAGAAACACTCAGGTCCTTTCTGACTTCTATCTTTTCTGAATATTTTTTGACAAACCAGGCTAAGACAACATATAGTTAAGAGGAGGTAATGCTCATTTAAAGCAGCTAGGTGCTTTTTTATTTCTCTTGGGCTTCAAGCTTCAAGAGCAGAATAACATCACATATTGGTAACTTGAAGCTATTAGGCTGTGATGCTTTTGAAATAAAGGAGAATGGGAAACATGCCAGAAGGCTGGGGATGGAAAATTTTGTACGCATTTTCACAGAAAATCAAGGGGAAGTAGGTACTGGACATTATAGATTGGTGAGTTTGGGAATCAATAATTAGCCTAATTTGAGATGAAAGAATAAAACAGATTATTTGTGATTGTGTGCTCCTAATGATTAGCCTCCTTTTCAAAATCACATCAGATTAACATAAAACAGTCAGGTGGTGCAGTGGATGGAGCACTGGCTCTGAAGTCAGGAGAACTTGAGTTCAAATTTAACCTTAAACAATTGCTAGCTGTGTGACACTGGGCAAGTCATTTAACCCTGCTTGCCTCAAAAAAACAAAAAGATATAAGCATAATGGAACTATTCTAGATTTGGAGCCAGAAGACTCAGGTTTGAATCTTAGCTCTGCCACTTACTTGATATGTGACTTTAGGTAATTCACTTTACTTTTTGGCCCCAGGAAATGATTGCTTGAAATTATCGTCTAACATCTGAAGGAGGACCTGATAAATAAGACCTGCCCTGTCTACCTTAAGAAACTTTTGAGGGTCAACTACAAATGGGTGTAAAAAGCTTGTAAACTTTAAAACGCTCTATAAAGGGTAGTTTTTATTCTTTCCATAAGACATTGGGCAAAGTCTCTCAAATCTGAAAGGGCTAGGTTGCAATGCAGCCATGGGGCAGCTGGGTTCTAAATTGTAGCCAGTCCACTGTTTAGTATTTGGTCCATCCAACCTCACAATATACCTAAATTCAAGGTGATTAAATTCTTTTCACGGAATACTTATTAAGTACCAACTAAGTACTTAAGGTGGATTGAGAGCTGGCTTTGGAGTCAGGAAGACCTTGGTTCAAATTGTTTCTCTGGAACATCCAGGCATTGTGACCTGAATGAGTCACTTAACCCTGGGTTAAGTGCCCTGGGCTACTCTTTGAGACTACAGGTTGTAGGGCAGATGCCCATCTGCTTTAGGGTAGGGAGTTTCCTACACCAATTATTCAGTCAATAAACACTTATTCGTCATCTGTTATGTGCTAGGCACCATGCTAAGCACTGAGGATACAAATAAAGGCAAAGGATAGTCCTTGTCCTTGAGGAGCTCAATCTAACAGCAGATAATATGCAAACAACTGTAGATTTTATACACACACACACACACACACACACACACACACACATTAGATAAATATATAATTATATATAAATGTATGTGTATTTAAATATATGCCATTACATGTTATGTACATATCATATATAGCATTTAAATACATTTGCGTATGTACCATAAATACAGGTGTCATTTATATATGTAATACGTATTAATAGGTAATATATAACATAACTATATATACATACAATTCATATGTGTAAATGTACAATGTATAGATATATACATGTATACACATGTATATGTACATATACCCACGTATATACATATATCTATAGCTATATGTGTGTGTGTATATATGTATTATATATATATACACACACACATAGAGATATATATATATTATATATATATATACACACACACACATATAGATACACACACACACACACACACACACACACACACACACGTGCCAGATAAATAGGAGATAATCAACAGAGGGAAGGCGCTAGAATTAATGGGATCAAGAAAGAGTTTCTGAAGGCGAGATTTTAGTCAGCACTTGAAGGAAAGTCAGGTAAGCCATGAGGCAGATATGAGAAGGGAGCGTGTTCCAGGCACGGAGGACAACCAGTGAAAATATCTGGAGTCTGAAGATGGAGTATCTTGTTTGAAGACTGTCAAGAAGGCCAGTGTCTCTGGATTGAAAAGTGTACACAGGTACAAGGTGTAAGAAGATTTGAAATGTAGGGTGTGTATGTGTGGGGTAGTTTATGAAGGACTTTTATTGTCAAATTGAGGGTTTTATATTTGATCCTGGAGGCAATAGGGAGCCACTGAAGTTTACTGAATAGGGAGGTGACGTGATAGGACATGTACTTTAGGAAAATCATTTTAGTGGCTGAAAGGAGGACTGGAGTGGGAAGAGCCTTGAGGCAGGCAGACCCATCAGCAGATTATTATGGTGGTTCAGGCATGGGGTGATTAGGACCTGCATTAGAGTGGTGGCAGTGTCAGAGAAGAGAGGGAGCATATTGGAGAAATGTTGCAAAGGTGAATCAGCAAATCTTGGCAACAGATTAGATATAAGATGAGGTGAGAAGGAATGAGGAATCCACGGTTATACCTCTTTTTTTGGCTTTTAAAGCCCTTCACAAGCTGGTCCCTTCTTCTCTTTTCAGGTTTCTTATACATTACTTCATCCTCATACTCCATCATCTATGATAGCCAGCTTCTTCCTCTTCCTCAAACCACACTTCATCTCTGTTTTCAGTCTTTGCATTGTTGGCTCCGCAGACCTGGAATGCTCTGCCTCCTTATTTTCCTCTTAGTTTCACTGGGATCCTACAAGATTCAGTTCAAACCCTATCTTCTTCAAGAGGCATTTCTTAGTCTCCCTAGCTGCTAGTTGAATCTGTTCTGAGGTTATCCTCTCATTGTTGTTCTGTCATTTTTCATTTATTGTCTGACTTTTCATGACCCCATTTGGGGTTTTCTTGGCAACGATACTAGAATTGTTTGCCATTTCCTTCTCCAAAGTAAAATGAAGAAACTGAGACAAAGTTAAATGACTTGCCTAGAGTCACATTGCTAGTAAATGTCTGAGGCCGGATTTGAACTCAAAAGATGAGTCTTCCTTACTTCAAGCCCTATACTCTATCATTATGCCACCTAGCTGCTTGACCTTCTCATTCCCCTCAGCATATATTTTGTATGTACCTAGTCATTTCCATGGTGTCTCTCCCATTAGAATGTAAGCTCCTTGAGGACAAGGGCTGTTTTAACCTTTTTATCCCCAGAGCTTAACACAGTACATGGCATATTTGAAGTGCTCAATAAATGTTTGTTGACTGACTAATTGGTGAACTTTTGTCTATAATTCTTCAGGCTCTCTACCAGAAGAACTACGGACAGAGGTTCACAATATTATGTAGGAGGCAGCAGCATTCCAAAGAAAAAGAAGAGTAAGAAAGCAAAACGGCTGTCTGATGAGGCTTTCCAAATAGCAGAGGAAAAAAGAGAAAATGACGGTTAAAGGAGAAAGGGAAAGATATACCCAACTGAATGCAGAATTCCAGAGAATAGCAAGAGAGATAAGAAGGTTTTCTTAAATGAACAATGAAAAGAAATAGAGGAAAACAACAGAATGGGAAAGACAAGAGATCCCTCCAAGAAAATTAGAGAAAACAAGGGAATATTTGTGTAAAAATGGGTCTCATACAAGATAAAAATGGTAGGGATTTAACAGAAGCAGAAGAAATTAAGAAGAGGTGACAAGAATACACAAAAGGACTAGACAAAAAAGATCTTAACATCATCAGTATTCACAATGGCGTGGTTCTAGAGCCAGACATTCTGGAGAATGAAGGCGAGTGGGCCTTGGGAAGCATTGCTAACAACAAGGCCAGTGGAGCTGATGGAATTCCAGCTGAACTATTTAAAACCCCAAAAGATGCTGCTGCTAAAATGCTTCACTCAATAAGCCAGAAAAGTTGGAAAACTCTACAGTGGCCATTGGAAAAGATCACTTTATGTCCCAATCCTAAAGAAGGGCAATGCCAAGGAATGTTCACATTATCAAACAATTGCACCCATTTCACATACCAGCAAGTTTATGCTTAAGATTCTGCAAGCTAGGCTTCAGCAATATATGAACTCAGAATTACCAAAAGAGTGGGCTGGTTTTTGAAGAGGCAGAGGAACTAGAGACCAATTTGCTAACATTCTGTGGATTTTGGAGAAAGCAAGGGAGTTCCAGGAAAAACCCCAACAACAACAACAACATCTAATTCTACTTCATTGACTACACTAAAGCCTTTAACTGTGTGGATCACAACAAAATGTGGCAAGTCCTCAAAGAGATGGGAGTACCAGATCATCTTACTTGTCTCCTATATGAGGGCCAAGAGAGAACAGAACCAAACATAGAACAACTAATTGGCTTAAGATTAGAAAAAGAGTATGACAAGGCTGTATATTGTCACCTTATTTATTTAACTTATAAGCATAATACATTATGTGAAATGCTAGGCTGGATAAATCAAAAGCTGGAATTAAGGTTGCTGGGAGAAATATCAACAATCTCAGATATGCAGATGACACCACTCTGATGGCAGAAAGCGAAGAGGAATTAAGAAGCCTCTTGATGAGGGTGAAAGAAGAGAGTGTAAAAGCTGGCTTGAAGCTTAACACACACATACACAAACTAAGAGCTTGGCAACTGGTCCCATCACTTCCTGGCAAATAATGGGAGAAGAAATGGAAGCAATGTCAGATTTTATATTCTTGGGCTCACACATCACTATAGATGGATTGCAGCAATGAAGTGAAAAGATGCTTGCTCATTGGAAGAAAACCTATGACAAATCTAGACCACATACTAAAAAGCAGAGACATCACCTTGCCAACATAGGTCCATATGATCAAAGCAATCATTTTTCCAGTAGCGATGTATGGCTGGGAGAATTGGAATATAAGGAAAGCTGGGTGCCTCAGAATTGATGCTTTTGAATTTGGTGCTGGAAAAGACTCTTGAAAGTCCCTTGGACAGAAAGGAGATCAAATCAATCAATACTTAAATTAATTCAGGCTCTTCACTAGAAGGTAAAATATTGAAGCTGAAGCTTAAAGACTTTGGCCCCATAATCAGAAGATGGGACTCACTGGAAAAGAGCCTCATGCTGGGAAAGATTGAAGGCAAAAGGAAAAGGGGATGGCAGAGGATGAGATGGGTGGATAGTGTCATAGAAACAATGAACATGAACTTGGACAGACTTCCAAGAGATAGTGGAGGATAGAAGGGCTGGGTGTGCTGTGGTCCTTGGGGTCACAAGGAGTTGGACACAATTGAACAACAAATTGACTGGCCACTAATCCCCAGCACTTAGCACAGCACCCAACGCATAGTAGGCACTTACTAAATGTTTGTTGAATGAATAAATGACTTTTTTAAATGGCTGATTTCCCTTTGCTGTTTGCTTTGGGCTCTCTGCAGAGCACAATAGGAGCTCAATTGCTATCACAATGTGACCTCTACGTGAAACTCTGGAGCTCGCAGTTGGATTATTGACTCCTCATTTCTTCCTCTCAACCAGAAACAATCAGGGTCGAAAGATTTACTGACTCCTACTATTTCTGGTCACCACAACTGTCTTGGGACAGGACTTTCTCCTCTAGTTTCTGGCCTCTCTTCTTCCCTTCTTCCTCCTTCAGTCTTTTTTCAGGTACTTATCCTCAGGGGCTCCTGCCTCCCCAGGATTATAAAAGAGGGAAGAAAAGTCAGGTTTGCAGTCAAAGGGGCCCTAGATTCAAATGGGAATTTTGTAAGGATTGTGAAATTATAAATAGCTTGTGAATAGCCCCTAGGTGGTCTTTTAAACCGTGAAGCCAGAATGGAAATGTTCTACGTTATATTATCTGTGAAATATCAAACCTCCTCAGACCACCCCCTTTACAAGCAGAAGAGGCTATGGCCTTAACTTGCTTCCTCAAACTTCCCAGACATGCTTGGCTACCCTTTCAATTTCCTTGTGAACAAGATGGAGAGAGAGATGGGCTAGTGGATTATATAAATGGATCATTTGTTGGTTGAATGCGTCTGCCCCAAAGAGTAATGATTAATGTATAGAAGCCAAATCAAAAGGATGATCTCTCTTTCTGCAGAATGGATGAAGGTATACAGAGAGAGCACACTGATCAAATCAACAGATGTCAAGAATCAGGAGGGGGAATGGAAGGTATCTATTGAGGCAGATGAGGGAATCGAGATTCAAAAATATTTCAAGAAAAATGGTCCAAAGACAATATGAGCTTTAATAGAGATAAACGTGAAGTTTTGCACATAGGTTAAAAAACAAACAAACAACATGCGTGTTAAAAAAAATCAGTTGTACAAGCATAGAATAATAAAAACTAATATTTACATGGGCCATTATAGTTTGCAAAGCACTTAACATACATCAGCTTGTTTGAACTTCCCTACTACCCCAAGATCACATCACTTATTAATGTCTAAAGTGAGATGTTAATGCAGACCTTCCTAGCTTCAAATCTAACAAGAAATCCACTAGCCAAGATGCTTCTAATACAATGTGGCTCCATTGTACCCTATAGATCATGTGAAAAAACATTGGGGGGTTTAGATGCTTGTAATCTCAATGTAAATTGCCTTATAAGAAAAGCTACTAGAATCTTGGGCTGCTTTCCCAGAACTCCCCTCTAGGTATTTAGAAGGGGAGCATGAATAAGCTATGGCAGCTAAGCGCCTCATTGGATAGACCCCTGGGCCTGGAGGCAGGAAGACCTGAGTTCAAATCTGGCTTCAGACACTTACTAGCTGTGTGACTCTAGGCATGTCACTTAACCCTGTTTGCCCCAGTTTCCTCATCTGTAAAATGAGCTGGAGAAGGAAATAGCAAATTACTCTAATATCTTTGGCAAGAAAACCCCAAACAGGGTCACAAGAAGTCAGACATGTCCAAAATGACTGAACAGCAAAAATGAATAAGATAGGTGGATGGAGTATTTATCAAAAATCTACTATGTGCCAGGCGCTGTGCTAAGCAGTTTTATAAATATTATCTCAACTGATCCTCACAACAACTTTGAGAGGTGGGTTTTATTAGGATCCCCATTTTATAGTTGAGAAAACTAGGGCAGATAGAGGTTAAGTGACTTCACCAGCTAGAAAGTGTCCAAGTTTTGAATTTAGATCTTCCTGACTTCCCAACACTCTATCCACTTCACTAGCTGCCTTGCTGCCTCACAGGCCCTCTGAAGTCTGGACTGCTCACATCACATTCTAGGGTAATATTTAGTTTCAGGAGCTACTCTTTGAGAGAAACTGATGAGCTGCAGGTCCAGAGAATAGGCATCTGGACAGTGAGGACCCTTAGGTACTTGGGAAACAGCTGAAGAAACTGGATCAATGGAGATTCATAATCAAAAGAAACAGGCAACATGGTGCACTGGAAAGGAAACTAGCCCTGGAGTCAGAGGCCTGAGTTCAAGTCTTGCTTCAGATACTTACTACTTATATGACCATGAACACTCATCCATTAAAGTTCCTTAGGCCCTCTGTTTCCTCTTAAAAGGAGAGGGTTGGACCAGATGACCTCTGAGGTCTCTTCTATTTCTTGATCTCTGATCCTATGATCAATATGAGCAGGAAGTAGGTAACACGTGGAAAAAAGATCTTACCCTATAATCAAAGGACCTGAGTTCAAATCCTACCTCTGACATGTATGACCTATGTGACCTTAGGCAAGTCATTTAACTTTCCAAGGGCCCTGTTTTCTCATCTATAAAGTGAAGGTGTTTGATTAAATGGCTTCTGAGGTCCCTTCCAGCTCTATATGTTTCTGTGACTTAGGCTGATATTCTCCCAGGGGACAAAGAGGGAAGGTTGCAGGGGAAGGATGATGATGAGAAAAGACATTGTCCTGCCTGCAGCTTTCTAGAGAAGATCAAACAATAATATCTGGAATTCCTAAATACTTTCTACAATGGCCACCCAGAGGTGGGCTCTGAGGGGCAGGGTGGGGGAGGATGGGGAAGGTGTATCAAATGAATGACTTTATCTCTAAGCTTCCTAACACTGGGGACTAAGGTATCTTCCCTCACCAGCAGGCCAGAGTTGAAGAAACTCAAGATGACCAAAGCCCAACTGAACATCTTTCTCCCCAAACCTCCTCTTGACTTTTTTCTTTCTGTCAATGGCACCACCACTCCCCTAGTCATCCAAGCTTGAATCCTCTGCACTTATAAAACACTCTACACGAATTACCTCACTTGATCCTCACAAATCCTTTCCAGGTAAGTGACGCAGATATTATCATACACCTTTTACAGATAAGAAAACTGAATGTCAGAGTGACTAAGTGACTTGACAAAGAAGCCTGTAGAATGGAAAACTAAACAAATTAGCTGGATCAATAATAAATTGCCAAGTAGTCTCAATGCTACCTCAGGATATCTCTTATGTCTG